TTCAAATGCATGTTCATTTTATTGTGATTGTGAAACGTGTGAGGATTAAGTACAATTATGTATAACAATAATAAATGTTAAGTTGGCATGGATGAATACCAATACATAAAAAAGGTTGAAACAAATATATATATATAAACATAGGAGAATTATTAACACGGGTACGTGGTTGATTAATTCAGTTTCAAATAAAACAACAACTTTTAAATAGAAATATTAATACGATTTTTTATGCTGCTTTTTTACCAAACAATATATTTTTACTGTAACACGATAACTATAAATTGCTATTAGAATCAAATTCATAAACAAGAATACGCTTTTTGTTGGAAGCATAGATATTTTTTCACTCGAAAATTATGGAAAGTTTTTTCCCAAAGCGACTTTTTAAACTTTTCAAGTACCTACTTGATTGTTTCATTAGTTTCAAAAAATGGGAAGGAAGCAGTAATGGATGATACACCTCATATTGAGTCAAACAGATCCACCAGAGCTGCAGTAAGGCGCTCTCCTCAATCCAGCTACACCCGTGTATCCATATTGCCGCCAGCGCCGTGGCATTTTGTACCGTTATATCAGGGATAGAGATCTTTTAATGTAAAACCTTGCCGTTCAAATGAAGACTTATCACATTTTATTTTTTGGTACCATAAATATCAGTTTAAGGAAACTATCGTACTTTTGTCGTATTTTTTAAGCCGTTGGTTTTTTTGTGCCAGATTAAGATTACAGAAAATGTTTTTCACGAGCTTAGTTATCCACAACAGATTTTCTATTCTTGGTCCTTCGGTTCATACAATAAATATAACTTGTGTCTTTAATGTAGCTAAATTGTTGTATTAGATTAATAAAAATGTTACCATACTATAAAATATATGACAAAAGAAGATTTCCATTGCCTTTGTAAAGAGTTATGAGATAATTTTATAGCATTTATATTGTGAAATGTCCCCAGAAAAGGGAAAACTTTACAATGACTCCGAATAACCTCAAGATGAAATATAAGTTGTAAGAACAACACTATCTTATTCCAGTGTTCGGCCGCGCGGCGCGCTGCGTGTCGCGAGCGACAGAGTTGCGGCATTTTGTCATTCTTATCGGCCCGAAAACAAGCCAATAAATTTGGCCGACGTTTCGGTTTGTGCCGCTGTGCCGCTGGGAGCGTTTTTGTTCAAATTAAACTTTCTTTCAATCAGATAAAACTGTTTCCTACATCAAATCTATAGGTTGTCATGATTTCTTATAGGTCTCAGAAGTGAGTTAAATGTTGTTATACGAAAGTTCAAGATGTATGTATTAAATGCTTTTTACCGATAATATTATAGAGCAAGCTATTAATGGCAGTTTACTACTAACTGTACTGAAATTTGCGCAGTAGTTTTTGTTTAGAAATTTTGAATTATAGCTTTTACCTAGTCTCTAGAAAACAATCGAGGTTGAGCTTCTGAAAGTAAAAACATCATGTTCTTCTTGGTGACAAAAAGAAAAACAGTAACCTCTCTACATTTGACTAATTAATATTTTTGAAATGCCTGCTACTAATTGATTATTGTTTTCTAAACCAAAAGTTGCCATTTTTTACTGTAAAATGTCCATTGATGAAAGATAAAACGTAAAATATCATTACTCCTTGGTTTTATTCGCTGTTTTTGGAGACTTTTAAACGTACTGTCAGACATTCTTTTAAAATATGTTAAAGTTACTAGTATCAATCTAAAATGAAACAGAATTTGTTTACTTTATGATAATACCCAAGTGGTGAGATAAACAAGTGATATTCAGCTGTGCGCGCTACCGCAGTGGAAGGGAAAGTTTTAGAACAGCGGTTGATCGTAAAATGAACAGGAAACATTCTAGCGAGGTCGAAAGCGAAAGCCATAAAAGGATAAATTTACGGTCAGATCTGTATATGTTTTGGACTCTGGGATGGAAATCCGAAACATTACCTTCTCCTTTTATACACAAAACCACTTTCGCGGGCCGAGATCTACCAGATATATTTGTTTTGTCCATTGTAACGTTTTATGTCTTTTACAAAAACCAAGTTCCCGTTATCATGTAAGTTTCAATAAAAAAATATATGGTCAAATGTTTACTCAACATACTTTTTAGGCAGCGAGGAATCATTTATTTAGGCTATGAACAGACCAAATATCTTCAAGATAATATACAGGGTGGTAAAAAAGTCCCAGGACAGTTCAATATTTTAAAAAATAATGTAGATAGAGCTACAATACTTGGTACAAAGTTACAGGGCATAAAACTCTATTTTAACACATATTCAGTGATCCAATAACTCTTCAGGGAGACGGCCCACAAGGAGTCGGAAGAAAATCTTAAATAGATCTTTATAGGTCAATATGCACATCAAATTAAAGGTCTTTTTTAGTAGAATACAATGCCGCAAACCGCACTTTAAAAGGTTGATCCTGCGCAAAATGGCAGATGTTCAAAGATTTCTTGAATCCGCCATTTTGAATCTTTGAACGACTGTCATTTTTTACTCAGGCATTCTTTTGAGCTTGAATTTACGGCATCGTAATCTACAAGTGAAGACCTTTAATTTGATGTGCATATCAACCTATTCTTACGTTAACAATTTTCTTCCGATTCCTAGGGCTGTGCCCCCTGAGGAGAAAGCGTATAATAGTAATGTAAATTAAATGAATCGTTGAACAACTGTCATTTTGCGCAGGATCAACCTTATGAAGTGCGGTTTGCGGCATTGTATTCTACTAAAAAAGACCTTTAATTTGATGTGCATATTGACCTATGCTTCTATTTAAGATTTTCTTCCGACTCCTTGTGGGCCGTCCCCCTCAAGAGTTATTGGATCCTGTGTTAAAATAGAGTTTTATGCCCTGTAACTTTGTACCAAGTATTTTAGCTCTATCTGCATTATTTTTTTAAAATATTTAACTGTCCTGGGACTTTTTTACCACCCTGTATTCTGTTAAACAGTATTCTTCTATCTTCAGTGGCTAGATACCACATTCAGTAGCCTACATTCAATAATGTATTAAACATAAAGATTCTAATGATAATTAAATATTTATATAGCTTAATACCCTGAGTTAAAACTTTATAAATAAGCAAACGAAATATTTCGTTAAAGGTTTAAGAAACAAATGGTATACTAGGAAAACAGACTCATTGATTTAAAAGCTATTGTTATCTGACATGTTTATCTTACTTACCTCCACTACTGTCCGCTCACTAGATTCTTTTGTTCCCTGGATTCAATTTACAATTGTATTGGCTAAACACTTTTCTATTGTATCGTCCGTATTATTTTGTTTGTAGTAATTAATTCAGTTTACGTATTTAAAAACACATTCTATTTCAGTCAAAGTAGCCGAATGTTTCGTCGGTGCTATGTTTTTGCTTTTGGCGATTGAAACAATAAACTTTATAAACAAGTGGTTCATCTCCTGACTAAGCTGCGAAATCAGAAATTGTGTTACAAACATTTCCTTATATACATTTTTGTTGCTTGGACTAGTTGTTTTATCATGCAAATTTAAAATAAAATGATATTTTTGTAGCTGAAAGCTTTTTACCATATTGTGTGCATAAAAAAACTCCAAAACAAGTTTATCACAAATTTAACTTACAGCCAAGGCGACACCATTGGATGAAATAGCTATAAACACATCATATTTCAGACGTTTTTACTTAATATTTCATTGCACGATGACAATCATTATCATCAAAACGTTATATTCATTTGAACACTGGGACCATGAGCCCGCACCACAAGCGCCGCACCACACTATCGTACCAGATTTATCTCGCCACAGACTCGCTGATTTACTGGCTTGTTTTCCCGTCGATAAGAATGACAAAACGCTAAAACTCATTGTACTTCGCTGTCATTCCAGTGAAGCTCACATTTAGTTCTTTCGGTTGTTTAATACGTCAAAATAGTTTTTTATTTGTTTTCCTGAACAATCTTAACTCATCTGAAAAAGAAAACGAGACCATTATGTACTTTGCAATTTTTATCTTAATATAATAAATGTCTTTGGTTTATATTAGGTTCGTATTTTATATTTTAATAAGCTGATAATAGGGTAATAAACACCCTAATTTGTAACTGTCACTAAACAATGTTTACTGAAACAATTAAGCTGATGATCATGATGCAATATCACACGAAGCATCTTGGTTCTAATAGTAAAATAGTATTTTGTAGTCAAGTTATCCTGTTTAAAATTGTTATATCATAGGTTTGCAATTTATTTAAAATTCACTTTTTGAAACATAAATCTTATAATAAAATAATGCATGTATTAGTGTCCCAGGTAGCATGAACGAAAAAGAGTCGGGTAATCTGACTTCCCTCTGGTGTTACCGCGGCTTATTGGTAAGTAACACGTTTGTTTGGGAAAGGCAAACGTTTTTTGGGGAAGATAAACTAATGTTCGGGACAGACAGAATCATACGTTTTGCTAAGTTGGAGATTTAAGATTTTTGGACAGCTTAGATGTACGGAAATGAGCTATTTTCATATACAGAGTCATGGAAAGGTTCTATTAAATTTCGTTATACTGTATATTGGTATTTTTAATTACGAAATTCAATTTAGACTTTATTATTTGCGTACAGCCAATATCTTGTTTTGTAACGTTCTCGGCTGCGATATACAAAATATTTTGGATACTGCAACTGGACTATCCTATAATAAAATCTGAAGCCTGTTTCGATGCGTTTCGTATCTGGTTACGCTTGCGTGTAATGCAGAAATAAAATGTCATTTACTATATATTTGTAAGGACAGAAGGGCAAGAAACAATTAAACTATTACATTAGTTAGCTAGTTATTGATTTGGTTGTAATAATTTCATTGTTGGTAAAAATTTAAAAAATAATTGTAACAAATTCTGGAGTAACCGGATAGTAACATGCCTTACAATTCGCCTTAGCTGATAAGTCTGTATGAATGTATTTTAAATGAATATATGATGATACTAAGCCTCAAGAGTTGTCTGGATACTTACAATGTGGTCAGCTGATTAAGAGGTTGTAGAGCTTCCACTGGAATCTCCGCCAATCCACAGTTTTGTAGCGAGCTGAAATATAATGGATATTAAAAATTAAATGTAAAGTTAATGGAAGAGTCAGTCATCAATTAAAATATCATCACAAAAGTATAAACATGAGGTTGCTATTTATGATCTTTTATGTTACCCCTTGAGTTAACAAAAATATCAAAGAGATGTGAATAATCAAAGTGAAAACATTCTGAAACATCGTACACATATGTCATGAACTATTTAAATCAGGGGTATTGATTCAAAATCCTGCAAACCCCCATACTGAGTATAAAGGGTTGTTCTAAAGTTAAATATTTCTGTCATTTTTCAAATTTAAAGTACAATGATATTTAAGTGAACTCAATTGCTTAGTGATATATTAGAAGGTAGCATGTAATAGCTAGTATTACAATGGTTGATTTAATCAAAGTAATTTGTATGTGTAGACAATAAAAACCATTAGAGCGATTTGATTTCAAATTACTGCCAAACTTCCCACATTAATACCAAAGCTAAAACGATAAAATAATCTCTTTGTAGTATCAATATTTCAACATTTATGAGTAATATACTTCCCGTAAAGAGGAGACTGACCCTATTTGTAAAATATCTTTTTCGATTATAAGTATTTAATCTTGAAACTCTTAAACGTTTTCCATTGGAAATAGTTGGAACACATTGGAATAGTTCTAAAATGAAATCTTCCAGACTTGTCTACAAGCTAAACTAGTGAAATTAAATCCTTGTGGAATTAAGGGATGCCAAAGCAAAGGTTCACTACATAATCCTCAGAGAGGAGTAGAGAAAGACACTAAGCACATTTAGGGATCAACAGAACACATCTCGCCGTGCAGGTCAGTTTCTGTAAATCTACCATTGAGCCTAGCAAGTCTTCACTAGCTAATTCCTTATATATTTTTATAGACAGAGTTAAAACTGTGATTCTAGAGCATAGACAATTTAAGTCATTCAGATTAAACCTGTTTACACTACATAGTACATTGTTACAGTGTCTACTCTTTTAATCTATGCTAACCAAACATAACAGGAAACCCTTAAAACATTTTACACTTAACCCATGGGGAATATAATTTTGTACCCTCGACTCCAACGGTGCGCAGTGAACTCATCAACCAAATAGAACACGTTTAATACAATTGAATATTAATATAGTTTCAAGGATCATATAATATAATTTAAAAGTAAATAAAACACTTAATTTTTTAAATAAAAAAAGTTGTTACAGATACTCACAGCCTCTTGAGTTTGCTATTGAAGGAGAAGGCTCTTGGATGAATCCTCTCCAGCAAGTTATCTGCCAAGATCCTGAAACAAAACCACGATTTTGTCAGGATAACGTATCAGTATTAGAAACGACACCATAGCTGATAGAGGAGTGAAGCAAAATATTGTTTCAAATTCACAATAGCTAGAGACAAGGCTTAGAAATAGTAATCCTTAACGTAGATTTTTATAAATACAGCTGTCACACTAAGTGAAAATAGTATATACAAAAATAACTAGCAGAGACTTAAATATTTTCCATTTTATATCCACAGTTATTTTTATTTCAATTTGCAATATCCCAGTAGAGTCTGAGGACGGAGACAAGGGACTTGCAGATGTCGAGGTTTAGGGTCGATACGCAGCATCTGTCGCTCCGTCCAATATATATCTGCTGGCGAGTTGGAGGAAGCAGTTTAACATTAAACCAATACATTACCAAGCCCATATATTGCTATCTATGCTCAGTGGTTGTATTACTAACTTTTTTTGTATAATGATTTTCATATACATATAAAAATTGTTATGATCCACTATATAATCTATACATTTAATTTATGACGGTAACATGCTTCGAAGAGTAGATTTAGTTGTAGAAAAATTGATGGAGGTTTTGAATAAATAGAATATCAGATTATTCACAGTAAGATTAAGTAAATTAAGAGGTTCTCTAAACAGTATAATTTAGTAAAAACTCAATTAAGCAGCATTAGGTATTTAACAGTGAAAGTTATTTCTGATTCAGAAAGAAAACTCCTCTCACAAGGAATAAAGTCTTCTGGTCAATAATGGGGAAATAACCAGAACTCGACATAATACAATACCTATAACCCATTGTAGATACTTTGGCCTGGCTTTAGGATAGAAGTCCCTTACCCTGTTCTTTACACCCCATTAAAAAATCACCAAATTAAAAACAATTCTATTTGTCACCTTCAAATAAAAGTTTTGACCTTTCAATATCATTAAACTAGCCACCCTTGAACTAAATGGAGAGCAATACTCGGATTCTCTATTTTTATATTACAATTTTATTATTGTTTTTTATTATAAAATATTTATTTAGAGCAAATTTTGAGTGCGTTTATCTAAGAAAACCCCCGTAGTCATTTATTGCTTTATATTTGTGTAAGTAAGTTTGGCTGTACCATTTACGTTTCAATACTTCTACCTTAAACAAATCTTGTAGAGTTCTTTTATAAAAAATGTATATTGTTTTAACTAAAAAACCTTAAACCACTAAATTAGCAAAGAGAAGAATATTAAGGAATCTGTTTTTGTGTCAATGCGCCAAAATTAGTGTTCTTTACAGTAAGTGAATACTTGCATTTTGGAACAGCGAAGCTCAAGGAAGCTAGAGAGTTTTAATGCAAGAAGGTCTGATGAAAAATGGCTTACAATGACGAAGACAAGTTCCATTTATAACAGGGTAAGGAATCTAGACTCTGTTGTTCCTCCAACAATATTAAACTCTTGTCGTGTCCGCTTTGATTAAATAGCTTGTTGTAATTTTCTATGGATTTAAACTTCACTATTTATTTGATGATTAAATATCTACAACAAAGCTAAAACCCAGCTACCTTTTACGTTCCAGTTATACTAAATGAATACTTTTTCACTCTTCGATGCGATATAATTAACCTATCAGTACGAAGTTGTAAAACTATAAGAAACGTTTTCTTATAGTGAAAACACTTGTTGCATAATATGGAGTTTTGCTATCCTTTTTTACAATATTTTAATTTTTTGTGTAGTCTCGAAACACTTAAATATATAGATATAAATAATTTATCATGATTTTGTATGGCGATTCTTGGAGGTATTATAATCAGTAGAACAAAATGTAGGTAAGTTAAACTCTAGTTTTACAATATACTTGTTTTATGGTTTTTATTCGTAATGAATTATCTAGTATTTTAATTATTAATGACCATATTAATAAACTACCATTTCTAAGAGAGATTTCATTGTAGTGGTTAGTGAACTTGAAAAGTTTCAAACCTAACAACTGTGATGAAAATGCAGGGGCCCAAGTCATTAGACTAAACCTTACACATTATTCCAAGAATTAATTGAAACACAATAATGATACAAAGAACTGAATACCATATTCACAAAATCTTGAATTTCACAGCTGGTAAAAACTCGAAGTTACATGATAAGTCTGATTTATTTTCTAAGATAAGTTTCATCCCAGTGTAGCCAACATAGCAACTGTTAGCCCAGCCTGTCTCCACCCATCCAAGCCTCGTAAACCTGGGAAGCTTGGGGTAGGCTGTAAATGCCTCTCCTATCTTACACTAATTCTTTACTTCTGCCTTGTGTAGAAAGAAAGATTTTTGGGGATTTATTTCAATTTAAGATATTATTTCTGCTGGTACAATTTTATTTACCATCTGTTTTTGTATTATAAATACTGCTATTGGAACTATTTAAATATTGCAATATGAATGATATCACTACTAGTTATAATTTCTTCAGCAAGAGGAACTTTTACAATATTTATTATTTATCATTCATGTCAAGATTTTGTTGTTTGTACCTGTTTTGCAGCATTGTAATAATACAAATAAGTAAATAAATATCGATTATGTTATAAGGATAGATCGTTATTCTTGTGAGTTTTACGAACGATTGAACCTGAAACAAATAGGCTACATGTCATTTAAATCCTCTTTGGCTACATCCCGTGGATGTCCGAAATTTCGAGGATCTATAATTATTTGTTTCAGTGAAAATTAAAATAGGAAACCACAATTATTATAATTGAACTATTTACATTTACATTTCGGTAAAGTTATATTTTATTTATGTGTTTTTGGTTGTTTATTGAATCACCGATGATTCTATATTACCTTGAATTACCTTATTACTTGGCGATCAAGGTAATATAACATTATATAGTATTATATAGATTATATATTTTATCCTGCCACAAGGCTGATTTCACTGAACAAAAGACTATTTCATTTTTTGGTTATTCGAACCTTTGTTTCCACAATCAACTTTAGGTGTATAACAGTTTTGAGCTTCGTTTCTATTGTCAATTGTGGATGAGCTTTTTTTAATAAAGACATTTTTATTTATTTATTTAAATAGCCATTTATACTCAGAACGAAGTCATAAAGGATCGGAACCAGAGTTTGTCAACAGTTGTTAGATAAATTTAAAGTGTATAGTTTTTAGATAAATAATAAACCACCGTTAAATTTTGCTATTTAAAATTAACTGTTACAAGTAATAGCAGAATTATTTCAAGCTACTGCGGGTCTGCTGTAGACCTGTACAGCAATTTAATTCACTACAACAAGCTCCTTGTACAATACTACATTGCGGCTTCTTGTACCTGTTCTAATCCTGCCTACTCTTGCCACAGGGAAATCCTTTGTAACAAAAACAATTGTTATTCAAAATACATGCCCAAATTTGGGTTATTTTATTTTTCTTAAAAGACTAAATAATTATTTCGTGCTCACTAGTATTCTCCTGCTAATGAGTAGAATAATAATATTATTAAATCAGTAAAATACTTACTATTTGATTAAATAACTGTTTTGTTTTTGGGCAATAACTGACTAGTGAAATGGTAAAATTTTGAAGTGAAGTGGTAAATCCCCGGGGAAATCCTAAAAAGTTGAATTTTTAAATTTTAACCCCCCCCCTAAATTAGGAATTCCCCCCCATGTTACTCTTATGGGAGATAACATTGAAAGTTGCCGACTTTGGTATGCTCATCTGAACCATTTAGAAACGTGCTAGAGACTTGAAACTTTGTAGTATTGTAGTATGGGATCTTAAACTAACGGTGAAATCTGCAAAAGTCCCATTTTCAAATTTTAACCCCCCCCCCCCCCGAATCCAAAATGGCGGACCTCTAACAACGACAAAACACGTTTTTTTCAAACGGCTATACGTAGTTTGAAAACGGTAAGAGCTAGAAAAGATTTGAAAGAATTTTCAGGGGCAGGAATAAAATTTTCTACAAAACCCTCTTATTTTTTCGTTAATAACCTCTTATTACTGACAGTAATGCAACGAAATATGTACCAAACACTAATTGCACCACTCAACAATTAAATTGGCCTTAACAGCTGATTAGTTTAATGATAAGTTCGAATCATTACAATTATATTTCTTCTCTAAATCATTGAACTTCATTGGTCCGATACCCGTCATGTTATGAGTAAAACTGAACTGAACTGAAACGGCTACTTAATAAATCGGTCATAGGTAAAATTATTATCTAAACCTAGAGGCAGCTAGTAAGCCAATTACATAGCTAAAGGTCTCGCCTTTCTTTTCTACTATTTTGCTCCATACTATTGACACTCAGTCGTTTTATTGACTACTGTTATAAAAATTACCACTCAAGTTATAGTGATAAAATTCTAATAATATAATATGATTCTTTACGATATTCTTTAAGATATTTTATTTGTATTATATTTTTCATATTTAGTCGTCAATTTAGTCGTCAATTTAGTCGTCAATTTAGTCGTAGTTTTATGAAACTCAAACAATCAAAAAGGTGTAGAATTAAAATTATAAAATATACCAATGTGTACCACAACAATCGATATTCTTCCTAATCATTTAAATGTATTAAAACCCCGTCATTCTTAAAATCCTAAGTAACACACGCGCATGCTCGCAATTTATGAAGGAGATTCAGTATATCATCGTCAAGACTGGTGTATTTTGCCAAAAATCTATATAACTATATCTACTTATATTGGCAACTATATTCTTTTTATTTACAACCCTTTGTAGCTATATTTCTTTTCTCGCACGATATTTTCAAGAGATAAAAGTATAAAGAATTCCTTCCGTTAATTGAATAAGAGGCCAAAATGGGTTGGCGGGCTTCCAAACACATCCCAACAACTCCAACAAGACTTAATACAGTCGCATTCTGTTAGCTGTTCTGTGAGCAAAATGTTGTATTTGTGGTAAGCTTGTTTTACAAGGTTTTGAAAGGTACTTAACAGAAAACACAATAGTAAATAGAGGATTTCTCCATTTTGTCTCCTTTTACTGAATAA